AAAAAAAAAAAAAAAAGGTCAAAAAGAAAATAGGAAACTGGTTTAGTCACTAGTAAATTTGAAGACGACTGCCTGCCTATCGAAACATACCTAGTGCACTGGTTTTAGTGGCAGTCTGGCACAGTGTATGGTCTGCGTGAAGAATATGGGTGTTGCAGTCAGCAGACCTGCATTTGAATTCTAATTTGTTACCTACCAGATGGAACCTCAAGTTACCTCTATATAAAAGCTCATGCTACATGCTACTGAAAGATAACATTACATGAGAACATGCCAGGCCATGGCAGGGATTTCATCGTGCCTGGTACACGTACATCAGCTGACCCATGAGCTTATGGTACACATTACAGTATCCCGATCCCTGCGGCTGTTCAAAGATCCCACTATCCTCACGGACCTCAGCCCCCATCAAAACCTATAAATATTAAAGAGAAAAAGTCACATTCAACTAGACTTTCATATAACTCAGAGGTAAGATGAAAATTTAAGGGTCCATGACTTCTATATCTTGATGCTAAGTGAGGCCGAAAACTGAAAGTCAGCAGGAGAGTCAAGGCACCTATCTAAACAAGAATGCAGGTGGCGTGAGCCTTCTGTGCATTAACAGTCAGCTAATATAAGTTCACTGGATTGATTATACTCTCTTCTCTCCCTCCAGAAAACTGATGACGATGAAATTGATTTTGATTATACTGTACTGCTTCATGAATTCTCAACACAGGTAAAATACCAAATTATATGTAGAATTTTTTTTAACCAGAAGTTTTTGCAAATGATTGTATTTTATGACTTTTTAATTTTACTTTATGACTCTTATTTCCTAGGAAATAATTCCCTGTCGTATTCACTTGGTCTGGTACCCTGGCAAACAACTTAAAGTGAAGTACCACTGTCAAGAGCTGCAGACACCAGAAGCCTCTGGAACTGAAGAAGGATCGGCTGTGGCACCAACCAAGCTTAGTAATTTCTAAAAAGAAAACAGTGATCTGCTTATACTAAGTTCTAAACAAAATCACTGTACTTCTACTAGCCTAGATCATTATTCTAGTAAAATAGCTAAGGTGTAGGCATTCTAATAACTTAAGAAAGCCTATGATTATAAGTAGATACTCAAAAATTAAAAGTTGTTGGTTTTTTTATTTGTTTTTCAACTAGTCTGCTGTAGTTTTTAACTCTGAGGGCACATACATACAGAACTCAACTCTGTGCTAAACAGTCACCGGCAGTCTCCCCGAACTTTCAGCCCTAAAATATAAAATCCAGTCAACTAGTAACGCTGCAACTGGTTCAACAAGTATTTAAAAAACAAAGCAAAAAATGATGGTCGCATCTCTGAATCTGCATTTCTCATGTTGTGAACATATTGTGGCTACTTTAAGTTGCTAAATTGCCTCTATCAAGTATGTAAACAAAGATAATATTTTCAATGAAAGTAAATTGTAGGAAAAATATTAACTGTTTAAAAGGAATTTTACTATATTTTATGATTTCAAGCAAGTATTCCTTTTTAACTTGATATCTTTTAAATAAATATTTACATTTCTAAATAATAAAAATGTATTAAACGCGTTTGTAGAGATTTGTATATATAGGAAAAATTTTTGGTGCTAAGCTGAAATTAAAAATGAAATTTTATTATAGATTAATTCCAATTGTACAAATAATAAGAGTATATATATCTCGCTAGATAAAGTTGTCTGCAAATATGCATTAAGAAAACACTGATGTAACTCAAAGTATATTAAGTACATAAAATTTTCATTTATAAGGACAACTTGGACCCAGTGTTGGCCTAAGTAATTTATAAAAGCAAACACAATATGTACCATAATCAAATTTAGTGGAGTATCTCCTCAAGGCAAGAAGAATTGATCCAGGAAATGTTGTCATCATCTGACTTTCAAAATTAGTATCATTTAATGGAACACTTGTATCAACGTCTAAAAACCTTTACCCAGGTTCCATGACCGGTAATTGATTGGAAAGCATCAGCCTTAAAGAATATCAAAATATTGCTTTTAAGTCTGTACTGTTAGATAATTGGAAAAGTTTATACTAAAGAGAAAAACTCTGAAGACGTGGACTCATACAAAATAAAAATAAACAGCTGGTTTATAATTTTTCTATTTAAAAATCCTACCTTTTGCATTATCTTCCCAACATCCCCTTGATTTAAGAGTTGCCTGTACTCTGAAGCACTGCAAACAATCATTCAAAGGAAACAATCTACAATGATTAAATCATGCCAGAAACAGAGGCTAAGGCCGAAGAATTGCTATCACCTAGGAGTTTGAGACCAGTCAGAGCAACGTAACAAGATCCTATCTCTTAAAAAAAAAATAAAGCAGGTAAAGTCATCAGATGAAGAATCAATAGTCCAAACTCTTAATATCACACAAAACAGTATTAATAACATGACACATCTGAATTTTACGAATCTTTCACTTCACGTCCTGGGCCTAAGCACAGGCAATACTTGAGTGGTCTTTAACTCTGTACATTAGAGTCACCCAGGAAACTTTTTATTCTGATCCATGTAAAGAACCTGAATATCTTAGTGCAGCAAGGGTTGAAACTTAGTGCAATAAATACCACCTAGTGCTGCTACCATTCTCCAAAACAAGTGCGTAATACTGTCCTTCTGTGACTTAGTCAACACTTACCCTTCAGAACGTAGTATAAAAATGCTTTTCCTGAACAGTCTCATTACTTTTCTCCATGCTGCAGACCTGGTTGGTACGTGGTCCTCACCAGCTGTGACCACACTAATGAGGTAGCAGGAGATGCGGGTTCTGGTCTTGGATTTGTCCACATGTGGTCCTATTCTAGTTAGTCCCACCCACTGGGCCACCTTATTGCCTATGAAATACTGGTGTTGGATTAGATATCTAGAACTTTTTCTGATACTTTACAACCAGAATGTTTAACAAATTAAAAACAAGTCCAAATTTATCTGTCTTAGTTCCAGCACTTTTGACCATTCATAACAGCCAGATGAAAGATGCTAAACTCTAGAAGGTGCACAGAATGTGTTTCCTCATTAGGAACAATACGCAGAGTTACTGTGAAGGGCGCGAGATGCTGACGAATGCCACAGCAACCACATTTCTCAGCCTCGAGGCCAGGGTAGCAACAGACATTCAAAGGGGAGGTGCACTTGGTGAGCCATCAAACTCAGGCTAAAAACTTGAGCTGTGTGGTCTGAGGAAAGTTATTTCCTTTCTCTGTGCCTTTGCTTCCTCTATTACAAAATGGCATAATAATGGTACTTACTCTCTTACAGGGTTGTGGGAAATAGTACATTTAAAGGATTTAGCAAATGTCCTGAAAACATATGCTAAATACTTTAAAAAAAATTTCCCCCCCAGAAACCTTAAATTATAGAGCCAAATCTATAAATCAAGGAAGCTAAAAATATTCAAAATCAATTATTTTATTTCTATTATCCAGTAATGGAAAGGTCTAGGATACATCTATGGCATCAAATGATTTTTGGATAAAGCAATTCTAAGGAGTGTAACAGAAACTGGGGAAGCCCAAATTACTCTGGAAATAAAAGCTTAACCATTGTTCTTTCACAATCTTTGTGAATACAGTATATGTATATGATAAATTCCAACAAACTAAAATTCAGGAAGCGCCTCAGAGGGGACTGAAACTAACTGGGCAGCCACTCTGAAAGTTACATCATTGAGGACTGCAGAAACAGTCTGATGAATACAAACAAGGACAGCCTATTTTTTACTTATAAAGAGTGAAAGGAAGTAATATTCATATTCCTAAAACACAGGCAGTCATAAATTTGCAAAAGCCACAAATTGAAGCAATCATCCATATATAAAAGACAGAAATTTAGCTAATGTTTTAATAGCCCAATGAAGAATCTGAAAAATGTTCTCTATTGAGATCATGTGAAATTCACTCTTAAACAGAAAACCTACCTAAGAAGTATCATGATATACATAATTCACCTTTAAGTCTTCAGCAAACTAATGATTAATTTTTTTTAAATATACATAGACAACAGACAAACAAGTAAAGTAAATATGACAAAACAAATTAAACAAATTATTAACAAAGTTGCTCCTAGTTAACGTAGATGGAAGGTACAGGCTGTTTTTATACTGTCTTTACAGCTTTTCTGTATGTTGAAAAATCTCATGAGAAAAGATTTGGAACGGAAGTTTACGCACATTAAAAGTATAAAGCAAATTAACCTCATTCCCCCTTAAATAAATATTAAATATATATTTCAGTAATAATCATAGTTTATTTAAGATTTTCCAGTGACCTATAAAACCAGTCAACAGAGCTGAACCATGCATAGACTTATCTTTGAAGATAAGAGAAGCTCCTGGATGGGAATAGGAAGGGCCTCCAACGTTTCTGGTTTCAGCCGGCTGAATTTATTCCTCTGGAATCCATCAAAGATGGATACAGTTAAAGTTTGCAGATTCAGTTAAGGTTGGTCAACTCACAGTGAGGAAAGTTAGTTCTTGGCTTTCCCCTTTTTCACAGGAAGTTGCCCGGTAGCTTCCAAGTACTTATTAACAAGATCTTCTTGCGTGGCTGGCAAGCACGGCTGATACCGGCAGTACTCCATTGTGTATTCTCCCTTCCCCTAGGAGTTTAAAAAAAGAGAGAGAATTTTTTTACAACTATCAAGTAAAGTCATGTGAAGTTAGGATTTCCCAAATCTGACCATTTGAAGAACACTGTAGTCATGTTTAAACACCTGCTTACCTCTGTGCATGACCTAAGTTCAGTAGAATAACCAAACATATCATTCAGAGGGACCTGAAAACAAACACAGATATTTTAGCATTGCTTATTGAAAAAAATATAGAGACAACCTTAATTGCATTTAGGTTTCTACTCAATATTCTTGGCTTAAAAGGATTAAAAGCCAAAGACAAACATTTTTATTTTATTCCAAGTGAGAAGCCCTATTTGAAAATTACGTCCTTTGACAGATGCAACTAGAAGCCAAGTTTTTAATTTCACAGAGGACACCACTGATGGCCTCCCCTCCTCACTTCTGCGCTGCTCTCTGGCCCCAGCTCCACCATTCCAAAGCGTTTCTTCTGTGACAATGTTAGTATAACACATCCTTTGGACACAGCAATGATATTCTTTGGTAGTACCTTCCGAGAGGCTTTATATAACATGATAAACACCTTCTCCACTGAGATTTAAGTCAAGAAAGGTACAAAGAAGGAAATTAAATATAACTCCAGCTCACATAACAATAAAGCAGCTATGCAAAGGCAGCTAAAATGAGAAAGAGGACTATACATCTAAAAACCGACAGCCATAAAAGACCAAGATAAAAAGAACCTCATTTTTAGCTTTTGCACTTAAGAGTTGCCTTAATTGCAAATTACAGAAATTGACACACATATTTAAGCCACAAATTCAGCAGGGAAATTGATCAATTTGCCCTACAATCTCCAAAAACAAAAGCTAATTCTGATTTTCTTCTGTGGTTAATAAAAGCAGGACTGTCACTGACCAATAGTACTTACCTCTGCGTAGAGTATAAAGTAGTCCTCTGTTCCATCTTGCCCAGTGATCACCCCATGGCGCCGGTTAATTCCTGCAATCACTGATCCCTGAAAATCATTTGGGGCTATAACTTCCACAGCCATAATCGGTTCAAGAATACATAATGTTGTGTTTGCCAAGGCTGGGTTAAAAAAAAAAAAAAGTTTATTAGTCTTTAAATAAACTGACAAACTGGAACTCTTTTCTATCCAGAAGGATGAAAGGGAGATAAATGGCGCTCTCCCAAAGGTACACACACAAGTGGTACAGTGAAAATACTTTATCCAGACTTATTTTTCTAGGTGCAATAATAGTCACTCTTCTAAATGGCAATTCCAATAACATATTTAGTTTTAATATCAGTATTTCCATCACCATATTTTTATCCTTAGAACTCATTAAAATGCAGAGAATAATATAAAAGGGTCTTTAAACAACATTTGATCAAGTCCTTTACCATCTAAATTATCCAGATGAGCTCTGCATTATTCTCTCGGAAAATCTTTAGAAGCAACAATACTAACTGTTAAGGCTTTGACCTAGGTAAACCTTTTCTTTCTTGTTGGTCCCTGACAGACAGTTGTTTCTAACTAAAAAGAAAATAACTTGTACCCCAGGGTGGGAAGGAGAGGGGAAGGAACCCCTCCAGATTCAGAGAGTCACGCAGAGATCAGTGGTTCCTTTTCTAGGCTGAACAATTCAAACCCAACTGACAATTAGAAGACCAAGTTTCTAGTTTCTGCTCTATTTCTAAGAAGTCATATGCCCTTTGGAAAAGCACAGTCTGTCCAGGTCTCAAGTTTCTTCACATGTAAAATAAAGATTCTAGACTTAATCTGGCCAATTTAAGCACTAAAACTCACTGGGTATGTCTGGATTTATTTTTTGTCCTTCTTAATACATAACCAGATATTTCTTACTATTACAAATGCTGACTGACATTTAAATGTAACTATATGGAGAGACTACGGTCAAACTTCAGGCATTCATACTTAATCTGGAAGGTGTGACAGTGCAGAATACTACTACTGCAGCCTCAGATTGGCTAATTTTATTTTGTAAAACACAGAAAAGATGACAAACATTTTGCTTTTAAATAATCATAGGGCGGCGCCTGTGGCGCAAAGGGGTAGGGCACCGGCCCCATATGCCAGAGGTGGTGGGTTCAACCCAGCCCTGGCCAAAAATAATAATAATAATAATAATAGTTTTCCCAGAAGCATCAATTAGTTTATAACAAATTAACAATTACTCTTATATTCACTAAAGCAATTCTTCCAAAGATACTATGAGCTTACATGTAATGATCGTGAGAATAGCAATTTAATATGCACATATTTCTTAGAAATACTTTTTAATTAAAATAATATCCTAGCTCACACCTACCCTGGACTCATCAGTGCTAATTAGTGAAATCTGTTCTGAGATAGAAACAATTGGACTTCATAGAAATACTGCCGACTCCTTTGATTCATTGGCTAAGCCCTACAGATTTCCACACAGGTATCTCCAACAGACCAACAATTCTAGACTACAAAAACAGCTCTGTTTCTTGGGTTACTACAACAGCAGAGCTTCCGTGGCTCTAAAGAAATGTAATGAATAGGAAAAAGGCTCCCTGAATGAGACATGTGAACAGACATATGCAGATTCAGCTACACATTATCCAGTGTTCTCCCTGGGTCAGGAATAAGAAGGGCCAGGCTATGCAAACGTCCTATTTTGAAGGGAAGGACGGAGCCAGGTGCACAGTGCTCATCACTCAGTTGCTGAAAACTGCCTGTCTAGTTCTCAGTTCATATTCCTTCATCCTGCTCCCTTCCTTCCAACTCTTTCTTCCTAAATCCACCTCCTGACTCACTTCCAAATGAGGAGAGGGTTAGGGTTAGACTTCCTCCAACCCTACCAGCAGTGACAAGACTCCAGAGCTAATTCACTCTGCATTTCAACAGCCACATAGATGCTGAGCCCTAAAAGCAATTTTCCTCCAGTAGATCGATGTGGTCTGTAGCTCCCTGAGGCAAGTAGTGAAAATACTAATATTAGCACAAGACCTTTTAAGCCAAGGCAGTGCCTAGAGATGGTAATGTTTACATTTCAGCCCACTAGGAATAACATAGATGTCACCAGGCCAGGCGCTAAAGAGGCTGTGGGAAAATGTGGTCCAGGGCGGTCACTCTGGACTAGGTTTAACTATCAGCTGCCCCTCTAACCAGCAAGGAACCTGCGGTCATTCAATTAACAGCTCTGAGCCTCAACTTTCTCAGCTATAAGGTCACTGTGAAGACAAATATGACAATCATGTACTCAGCAATCAATAAATGCTGCTATAACCACTCTGAGACAAACCAGTGGGGGAACAGGAGGCAAAGCACAGTGCCAGGTCAAAGGCAGCATGGCAGGAAAAGGGATCAGCATTCACTGCGTCCAGACACGTATGTGCAAGTGTGTCACGCTCGTTCTCATTTAAGATTTGCACAATTATTACCACCAGGCTGCCTGGGGAAAGTTCAGATGACCTGTATGTTTCCACAAAGTAAGGAAAGAGGACAGCCAGGATTCACACTAAAGCCCACTGGTAACGGGACGGGAGACCAAAAAAGGGCGCTGCTGAGTTACATGAGCTCACGCCAGGCCTCTGGCTAGCCCTTCATTTCTCTTGCAGGGGGACTACAAGTCTGGTGTTTCTGGGGATACCAAGCATGGTACCCTAAAAACTAGCCCCAAAGAAGGATAGCAGTGGTCCCAGCTATAGGGTAAAAATGCCTAAACATTCAAATTTACACTTCAGTTTTATATCACTGATTAATCTCATAACGAGATTTAAAATTTGGCCTAAATTAGTTCCAGTTTTCATTTTTTTAAATGAAGAATAAATGAGATTTTAACCATTTTCCTTCAGATTTTGATAATATGGAACATATATCTAGGTAATATTACAATAATTGTGTAAGCTTTTATACTGAGCTCAAGTCCTAACATTCTGGCCCAGAAACTCTCACACAGCAGTCAGTGGAGGTAAACACACAAGGTGACGTTCTGACTGAGTTTGGCAAGAACTTCCTTTCACGTGACTTTTTACATTTTTGTCTTTTTCTTTTCTTTTTTTTTAGGAAAGGAAAAGCTAATTCATATTTTTACTCCAAATCTCCAAAAACAAAGTTTTATTTTATTTTTAATTGACAAATAATAGTTGTATATGTTTCTGGGATACAATGTGATGTTTCAAAGATTTTTATTTTTCAATCATAGAGAAATAGGAATCAGATGAAGAAAGAGCAAAGTAATTTATTTATTTATTTATTTTTGAGACAAAGCCTCTCTCACTTTGTCCCCCTCAGTAGAGTGAAATGACATCACAGTTTACAGCAACCTCAAAGTCTTGGGTTCAAGTGATACTCTTGCCTCAGCCTCCTGAGTAGCTGGGACTAGAGACAGAGTCTCACTCTGGTTCAGGCTGGTCTCAAACCTGTGAACTCAGGCAATCCACCTGCCCCGGCCTCCCAAAGTTCAAGTAATTTATTTTTCATACTAGCTCGCTGCTTGTCCGCACAGGGATAGTTTCAAAACTAAGACTTCCCAATTCAATTACAATCTAGTGCTTTCCTTTGCACATCTACCAGGCAATTAATCATACTTAATATTTATACTTATACTATATTTGTACTATACTATAGCTAAATAATAAAATGCTAAATATTCTACTGCTTAGTTAGTATTCATAGATATAAACATTTTCATGAATAGATGTGTCTATTAAGGGCATATATTATATAGCTTTACTTCCATTTAAACATAAAAACAGTTAAAAAGGATGAAGCTCTTTGTTAATTGATAACCATAGCAATTGCCTGGCTTTATGTAACCTTTATCTCCAGGAAAACTACCAATTTCCAGTCAAGAACCAGCACAGAACCATTGGTATTTTCTAATTTGTTTTAACTGTTTTGCTGAAAATTCTATCAAGTGTGTGCAACTAATTTGTCAGCTTAAGATTAAAGTGGTAAACACTTGGGAGTCTTACTCTGAGTCACGCCCAGGAAAGCCTTATTTTGTCATGTCATTTTTTAATTTCCTATTATCACAATCTTCAGATTATGAAAAGATTTCATCACAGATTTCAACTGAATTTTTTAATGGAAAACTGACATAAAGATATGGAGAATTCTCTTTCCCTTTCACAGCCGAGAAACTAAAACATAAATTACTAAAGTCTCCAAGCAGGTAAAGTAAAGTAAGGAATCAGCAACCTGGTCCAGTCACTGCCCCCTACCTGATCACAGATGCCAACTACAACCAAAAGCAACACAAAGTTCACGAGAGAGAATCCACAAAACCCTCATCTACAGACTGCTTGGGAAATGTTACAACTAATTTAATTTTCTACTGTCCATTTTAAACCTGCTTGATGACAATATTTCTGAATGTTCTGTGAATCGTAATTTGATTGCAACTTGTGTAAAGACACTTATGGACATTACAGATGAATTTCCACATAAAGGATATGGAAGAGATAACAAAAGAATGAATTTTCTGGCTGCAGGACACACTCTGAAGATCCTTTGTCGACAAACCGTGATGTCAATTTGCTATGTTATCATGGGCTTTTTTTCTCTGAAAAGCAAAGAATCAAACATGCTTCCAACTGCTTAGGGATCTAGTTCCTTAGGGTTTAAATACACAATAATTCTACATGAATAAGGTTGACAGTGTTAGCAGGTTAGCAAGAAGTCTACCTTGTGAGTAGGGTTTACTAAATTCTTCCAAAGTACTTTGTTATTCTCAAAATGTCTAAAAACTTACTTACAAATTTATGGATTTCTTGACATTTGAGTAAAGTCACTTAAAACAGCATTACTGTAGTTAACATATCTTTAAAATATTTCTTAGAATTCTGGACTTTTCTCTCTATTAAAAACGAACTTACAAAACATATAAATTTAAACATATAAAAAAAGATAAAAATAGGAGTACATGGCAGACTTTTAATTTTTCAAGAAAAGGAACATAATAATCCACTCTTACTTCAGCTCTATAAATATTTGTTCACTGGCTACAATATTCCCTGATGTGATGTACAGTGCTCTGGGTGCAGGGTAAAAATAGCCTTTTCAGGCTCTCCTGGTCTGTCAGGGCAAAGGGACACCCTGAAGTGACAGGGACGGTGAGCACAGGTAAGGAAGATGGAGAATCAGAGGGAGCTGAATGGGAGGCAGGGGTGGCCGCCAGAGCACATACTCTAACAGTAACGAGGTAAAGGTAACCCCAAGCGCCCCAACGTACTGTAACCATAGTAAGAGATAACCACAAGTGTCACACACACACACAAAAGTAACAGAACCGACACAGAGCACACTGTCCACCACAACATTGTGTATGACCTACCCAGCGGCCACAGCACATATGGGACACATCCACTGACCACGTAAGATGAAAATCTTCCCTGCCAAAGGCCAGCAGAGAGGAGACAGCATCCCCACTGATCAAGAAAAAAGGGGAAAGACACAACTTTACCACGGAAGAGAGGCAAGAAAAAGGTGTGTGTGACGCAGAGACCTCAGGGCCAGGCTCCGCTGGGACGACGTGCGCCTGCTCTCACCCTCCAGAGCGCATCTTAGCCAATAAACTCTCTCTGCTGGCTAGAAGGCGGAGGAAGCTCTCGCTCACCTTGGGGCTCAGGGTGCAGCCTACCTTGTTTAAGAGCACCTTCTCCTGCTCGGACGAAGGAGATTTCATTGGAATCAACCATGTGGTGGGCTCCATCCTGCAGGACAAACCGGAACCCAGACAGCTTGTGACCAGAGAGAGGGCCCTTCTCACAGGCTCCTAAAAACCCCTGTGAAGGAATCAATACAACCTCTGCTGTGAGCGGGTTCTACTCAGAGATGCACTCTCAACAACGCGGAAATATTCTTTGTTCAATAGTATAACATTTTTATGAATGCTATTTCACCCCTCCAAAAAGAATTCTTTTTAAAAAGTTTAGTGTCTTTCATTATTGTGGCATCTAGACAAGCAATCTCTCAGAAAAGCAGATGACTTGAAGCTAATTTGAGAGCACCACCAAGAATGCTAACTCCACCTTCTCCCAACCTCACCCTCAGGAACTACTCAGCTCTCACAATCCAACATACAGACAACATGATCTTAACTTTAGAAACTGAAAACAGCAAAACTAAGGAACTTCCTAAAAGAAAACCCCATCAAAACTGGTGTTCACAATGGCTGCACCTTGGGACCCTAGCACATACCTGAACTGGCTTGCCTCACTGGCAGGGCACCACATCATAGCTTTGGTGTTATGTATTGCCAGTAAGAACCAGAATTAAATAGTAATTTTCATTTCTCTAGATGTAGTTTGTTTTTTTTTTTATAAAATAGCTTCATGAGGTATAACTGATATATAATAAACTGTACATATTTAAAGAGTACAATTCGGTTAAGTTTACAATTCTTTTCAATTCAGTCACTTAACAAATATTTTGTGGCACTCTTATAATTCACATTAGTGTTTCCTGGCACACAGTAACATGGTTGCCTAGAAAGTACCATATATTTCTTACATTTCAAAACCGTAAATTATGTACGCTAAAAAATATCTAAGGTCTCCTTCACCTATGTTCTTGTGGGACATATTTAAAAGTGTGTGAATGGCAAAATTATTGTCTTATTTGAAATAAGAGTATAATGAATGGAATGCATTAACCATAAAAAATGCCATTTAGTAACACTGAAACCCAAATTATAACCTGATAATAGGGATTTTAAGTTAAAAGATTTAGAAACAAAATCTATAAGAATAAACTAAAAATTTATAACACTTTAAAGTAAATGACCTGGAAAGCAAAGAAACCAATTAGAATTCCTCAGGAAATGTGACCTAAGTCTTATTTGACCCTCGCTGCTGTGAGGCCTACACACGAAGACTGGTCCTGAACACTGACTGACCAAAGAACACACTGATGGGCAGCAGAGATGCGGGCAGCAGAGATGCGGGCAGCAGAGATGCGAGCAGCAGAGATGCCGGCAGCACCCGGTGTTGGGAATGATCACTCTGCTACAACAGTACACATCAAACTGTCGTGAATCCTTAAGGTCTGCTACCAATTTTAACTGCAGATTACAATCAATGCAGTAGATTCAATTTATCAGGATAATTATGACGATGATTAAGAAACAGAAGGCTTTCCCATCACTGTTCTGGCAGGTGTTTATAGCTCTTGCACTTAATGACCTGGAGATTCTAAATCAAGATGGAAAGCTTAACATTCATTCAGGTCTAGAAGCAGAACTGTAACTAAAATGAACCATGACAGACAGTGTGATGGAAGGTAAGGTGTAATTGGACACCCAATAAACTATTTTTAATAGATAAAAATGCAAAAAACCTTTTGTAAAATTTACCTTTTCTACAGCAGGCACAAACTGCTTTGGAACGTTTGATCCGAATGTTTCATCTGCAAACTCCAACTTGGTGTAGTTCTCTGGGTCCAGAGGCTCCAGCACACCTATCACTTTTCCAAACTGGCCTGCACCGCCCGATTGTTTTTTATGTGTAAACTCAAATCTGAAATTGATTTAGGAGAGGGGGAAAAAACCAACAAAGCATATGTAATCACCATACTTAAATAACTCCTGTTAATTTAAAAGGAAAAAACCCACATTTAATCATTTTCATATTTTCCTTTGAATATAATCTTGCTATAAAATTTATTATAGAATTTATTTTAAAAAGAGGCATCTCTTTTCTGTTTTTATCTGGGAATAGGGGTAGGGTACGTCATCAAAGTAATCTATGTTTTTAAATTCTGCTAATTCTGAATTAAATAAAAAAATGAAAGTAGTTAAAATAAAAAGATGTCTCAGGTTCTTGCCCTAATCACCTACATTCTGAAGAGCTTACCCATTTCCTTGAATAGTGTGTGCTTCTTAAATCTCTATAACAAAAAATAGTTACTCAAAAACAGGAGTTTTGATGGCTATAGGTAATTTACTCAGACAGTTCTTATTTGATTTGATGGTTTCTGCATGATTTGATTTCATATTATGATTATGATTATTATTTGGAGACAGATTCTCTGTTGCCCTGGGAGAAGCGCTGTGGCATCATCATAGCTCAGAGCAACCTCAAACTCTTGGGTTCAAGAGGTCTTCTTGCTTCAGCCTCCCAAGTAGCTGGGACTATAAGCACCCACCACAATACTCAGCTAGTTTTCCTATTTTTGGGAGAGATGGGTCTCACTCTTGCTCAGGGTGGTCTTGAACGCCTGAGCTCAAGCAATCCACCCATTTCGGCCTTCCAAAGGGCTGGGATTACAGACGTGAGCCACCATGCTCAGCCTATTTATGTATTTTTGAGAAGGATCTCACTCTGATGCCTGAGCTAGATAGAGTTCAGCATAGCTCACAGAAACCTTATCCCAGCCTCCTGCCTCAACCTCTTAAGTAGTTGAGACTACAAGCATGTGTGCCACCATGTCCTGCTATTTTTTTTTGTAGCAGCAGGACCTTGCTCTTGCTCAGACTGGTTTAGAACTCCTGGCCTCATGCAATCATTCCACCTTGGCCTCCTAGAGTGCTAGGATTACAGGCACGAGCCTCTGTGCCCAGCTGACGTGAACATTACAGACTCTGGCAATACAAGAAAAGGGAGTTGCAGGTGGATGAGTAACACCTGAAAATAATTAATGGCAAAGTGACCGTGACTAACATAACTCATTCAAAAAGAAATTCAGACCCAGGTCACTGTATTCAAACCACTAATGGCAACATAAATATAACTGAATAAGCACTTTACAGACATATTCAATATATGTAAATACAGGCTACCATTTCATTGGAAAAACCTCGCGTGAGTATTTACTATTTGCAAGGCATTTCTTCCTTTAAGTTGAAATCTTCTGCAAGACCATAACATGTATGGGCTGTTGCTTTCAAACTATTTGCAGATAACTGCAGGGAAACAGACATTAATGATTCATGTTCCTGCACACAGATCTGTGAGTGGAGAGAAGAAGTAAATTATCAATATTGGTATGAGATGCCAGCTTAGAACAGGCAGGTTTTCTAAAGAGCCTACTAAGTGTGAATGTGCCCGATGAACTGCCTTTAAATAATCTTCCAATGGTCCAGAACTTTAAGACGGGCTGGGAGAAACATGTGAGAGGTTGATTTTCCCGGGAGGGGCAAAGAACAGTTATCAGAACTAAGAGAAGGAAAGAAGAGGGGACAAAACTGCCAAATCATCACAGAATTACTGAGGGGCCTCCCCAACTGTGGGGCACAAACATATCCAGGAGACATCTTACATTCTATTTTCAACTTGACAATAATATAACATCTATACAAACATACCCTAGACCTGCATTGTCCATGCAGTAATCACTAACCAAGGCTCTTGGAATTAATAAAAATAAAATACAATTACAAGTTCAGTTCCTCAGTTGTGTAACACTAGTCTTGTTCCAAGCAAGTGCCACGCGTGGAGAGTGGCTTCTACACCAGACAGCACAGACATGGAATACCTCCCTCTCTGTACGATGCTACCCCAGGCAGCACTGCTCTAGAGGACCAACTCACAAACACCATTCCCTACAGTTTTAGGGACCATGTCTCAATTTTATAATTGAGAAGCTGCCATATAACAGAACACTTACGTACCAGGCTTGTGTTAAGCACTCTATATGGATTGTTCTTACTTGTTTTGTTTTAACCACAAATTCACATAGTAGGTACTATTTTTAATCATTTAAAAATATTTAATTAAAAAGATTAAATTAAAAATTTAATCTGCAAATGAGGAATTCACTTCAAAAGCTATTAGAAGGCACTGCAACAAGACAGATTCTGCAGTAGTTTAGACAAAGAAGTGGGAGAACTATGACATCTTAGCAGGCAGCTAATGTGGCTGAAGGTGAATGGACCCACGTGTACATGGCCTGTGGTCAGACCACTGCCATGCTGTGGAAACGAATTTTGTTTTAGTTAAAACATTTGTCTGTCACATTAAAATTAACATTAGAATTGTGTAATTTTCTTGTTTACCTCTAATTTGGACATTTGCTTTGACTTTATATCCAAGTAAAGTTGCAAGTTGAAGGTATTCTTACTTGATTTTATGTTATATAATTATGCAAATTATAATTTACATGATTTCGGAGACCCATAATAATTTGTTGTCCAGATTTTCTTGCTCCATTTACAGAGAACAGGCAGACTAGATTGCATATAATAATTAAGCTCCCTAGGATTTTAAGAATGGTAAATGAACACTGGCTTCAAAATAGCTAATGCCATCAGCCCCGTTCACACCTAATAAAAGTGTTAGCCTAGCATTAATGTACATAGTTACCATTCAATTAAAAAAAAAAAAGTGTTAGCCTGTTCTTTGAAGTTCTGAAGCCAGGCACTCACTTCTCTCCAGCTAGGAAAGTCCTAAATGGAATCTTCTTCCAATATAAGGCTGTGTTATCCACACTAAAATTTTGTTGTTTAGTGTGGCTACCTTCATCAATTATTTAGCTAGAGCTTCTGGATAACATGCGGCAGCTTCTACATCAGCCCTTGCTGCTTCACTTTGCACTTGTACGTTATGAAGATGGCTTCTTAAACCTCATGAACCTACTGCTGCTAGCTTGAAACTTTTCTTCTGCAGCTCCCCCAGCTCTCTGATCCTCAATAGAATTGAAGAGAGTAACAGCCTTGTACCAGATTAGGCTTTGTCTTAAGGGAATGTTGTGCCTGGATTTTCCACTCAGACCACTCAAACTTTTTTCATAACAGCAATAAGGTATTTTGCTTTCTTATCATTTGTGTATTCACTGCAGTACTTTTAATTTCATTCAAATACTTTCACTTTGCATTCACAGCTTGGCTACCTGTTTGGGGTAAAAGGCCTACTTTTCAGCTTATCTCAGCTTTCAACGTGCCTTCTTCATTAAGCTTAATATCCAGGGTTTGGCTTAAAGTGAAAGACATATGAATTTTCCTTTACCTTGAACACTTAGAGGCCACTGCAAGGTTATCAACTGGCCTAATTTCAATACTTTTGTGTCTCACAAAGTATGCCCAAGGAGAGGAAAAGAGGCTGGGAACCACCAGTAGGTGGCGCAGTCAGAACACACACAATGCAGGTATTTACAAATGAAGTTCATTATCTTATAGGAGGTCCACAGCAGAACAACTACAGTAGTACCATCAAAGATCACTGACCAACGTGGTATGGTGGTGCACACCTGGAACCCTACCACTTTGGAAGACCAAGGCAAGAGGATCGGTTGAGGCCTGGAGTTTGAGACCAGCCTGGGCAATAACAGCAAGATCCTTTCTCTACAAAAAGCAAAAAAAAATTACCTGCGCATGGTGGCATGCACCTATAGTCCCAGTTACTAGGGAGGCTGAGGCAGGAGGATTGCTTGAGCCTAAAAATCTGAGGTTGCAGTGAGCTATGATAACATGACTGCACTTTAGCCTGGACAACAGAACAAGACCCTGTCTTCAAAATAAATAAATAAATAAATAAATGATCACAGACTACCATAATAGATAAAATAATAATGTAAAGTTTTGAAAAACTGTATTGTATTTTGAGAGTTACCAAATGTGCCACAAAGTGACATGTGCTGCTGGGAAAATGGAGCTGACGGAGTTGCTCTACAAGGGTTACCACAAACCTTCAATTTGTAAAACCTGCGTTGTTCCCACAGTACAATAAAGCAGAATAAAACACAGTATGTTGTGTTTGTTTAAACATACATAGTATGTATATGTAACTATGTAAATGGACGGCATTAAAGTTTTTAATTTAAAATTTTATATTTAACAAATTGATAATTAACCTTCTCAGTATATTAAATAAGCTGGTGTATCTATTACGGTGAAATTACTATTTTAACAAACTAATAGCTTCCTTAAGTAAAAATTAATATTCACTATCCTGTATGTGTACATATGTTCATATTTTTCTGTAGTTTTTATACCAACTATATTCTTATTTTTATTAATCATCACTATTAACCCAAGCAATCAATTCCTGCCTTCTCCACGGAGAAAACCAGAAGACAGAAGATGAAGAACTGTAAAGTTTTGCATACACATTTTAGATCACCTCTATGTTTAGGGTGGCAAAATAATACATACATAATATCCACAGCATTTGTTTTACTCTGTTTACTCTCAGTCCTATAATAATGTCTAAAAATAAAGGTGAACCTTTAGTGACCACAGCTCTGTATCATTTATTTCTTAGAAATTGTTAAGTATCCAAGGACTAATTTAACATTATATAAGGTCTTGAACAGTTAACTGAGTACCTGAAAGACTACAATTTTAGTTAACACATTTGGTCCTTATAATCAGTAGTGGCATAAAAAAATTTATAAGATCCAAAGTCTTTTAAAAAACACCTATATTGGACAGTGCCTGTGGCTCAGTGGGTAGGGCGCTGGCCTCATATACTGAGGTGGCAGGTTCAAACCCGGCCCTAGCCAAACTGCAACAAAAAATAGCCGGGTGTTGTGGCAGGTGCCTATACTCCCAGCTACTCGGGAGGCTGAGGGAAGTGAATCGTCTAAGCCCAAGAGCTGGAGGTTGCTGTGAGCTGTGACACCACAGCACTTTACCAAGGATGACAAAGTGAAACTTTCTCTAAAAAAAAAAAAAAGAAAGAAAGAAAAAGAAAAAAACACCTGTATTACAATTATTTTTAGTTAAACACCATTTTATATTTTGTAATCTTAAACAACTAGAGGATAACTTATTTAACCCATAAATTAAATACGAAATTTAATAAGCTTAAATCATAAAAAGTAAAACTTCAGTTTTATATAATAATTAATTACAGTAATTAATCTTACATAATAAAACCTGTAAAAAGATTAAGAATTGACTTAAAAAATATTAATTCCTTATAGTTTTCTCCAATTCATCTGTATATCAGAACTATTTCATAAACCTTTTTATAAAATACAATTTGTAAACCTTATTAATAATCATTTGATCAAATTTAAAAGCTCTGCTTTTATCTTGAAAACTTGTTTTTTATAACCACAATAACAAAGGCTATTATTTAAATTCATTTGCCTACATTGTTTAAAGCTAAGGAAGTATAAATGGTTAATGACTTTTTTCTCGTAGACATTTTTGCCTGTTTATTTGCACTAAATATTCTTGGATTGCACATATGACAGAGTAATTTATTCTGATGAATTAGCCTTTAAAATGTTTCAAGTGGAAGAAAAGGGAGAAAAACAGGAAAAGAATATGAGCTAGAGATAGCTCTAGACAAGTATGAAATTACCACTGCAAAAGGCTAATTTATACTTCTTCTTCAAGAGATGAAAAAGTTTAGACATAAAGCCATGCAGTTACAAAGCCCTGAAGTATGGGAATAAAAGATGGGCAGTCTTCTACATTGAGCAAAGTGATCTCACTCTCTCCTTTTTTTTGAGACAGAGTCTCAAGCTGTCGCCCTGGGTAGAGTGCCCTGTGGTGTCACAGTTCACAACAACCTCCAACTCTTGGGCTCAAGCAATTCTCTTACCTCAGCCTTCCAAGTAGCTGGGTCTTACAGGTGCCCGCCACAACGCCCAGCTATCTTTTTTTGTTGCTGTTGCAGTTGTCATTTTTGTTTTACCTCGGTCTATGTGGCCAGCGCCCTACCCACTGAGCTATGGGTGCCACTTAATCAACGCACAGTGGCTAAAATACTGAGTGTGGGTCTAGGGCATGAAAGGAGAGAGCAGCTGGAGAGAAAGGTATGCGCAGAGTGCCTCCTGGAGTTGTGACTTCTTTGGAATTTTGCTGCTGTTCTTCTCAAGTGCCTCTCAAATGAACTGTCTTCTTCATAACAGAGTTCCCCAAAGTTTACCAACTCCTTGGTAAAGTTATTCTAGAAGATAGTACAAGTTTATTATTTGACAAACCCATGAAAAATTGGCAGATGTTCAGTCAAAAGTAAGAACACTGTTAGGAGCGTGTCTGAGTTTAACCCTATGGCTAAACCACCCACATGCCATGTGAGAGGGAGGTCTCTCCGGCACAGACAAGACAGAAGAAAGTTTTCATTGACAAATAGTATGAGATTGGGGCCGGGGGGGAGGGGGAGAAGAGAAGGTAGGAGACAGTGCTTAAAGCCAAAGACTCCAGAGAACACCGAAGTCTGATCAGAAGTCCTAAATTTTAGGAGATGATAATAAGCAGAATGCTGGGGCAAAAGTCCAGAATCCAGATTTACTGCAAAATCCACATACTTGGGAACATAGGAGCCTCAGGAAGTCTCACATATGTGCACTAGGACCACACTGAAGGGCCCAATCAAGGCAGCCAAGGCCAACCCCTAGTAGAATCTTGCAGTTTTCCCAGCCCAACCAACCTAAGACCACCAAGGAGGCCCACCGTGATGAGGGAGAGGAGACCACACAGAGGTAGTGCTTTGTATGAATGGTTTTAAAGTATGAATCCTTAAAGTAACACGTTCACAGTGATTCAAGTTGGAAGCATGGTGTTATACCAAACGCTCATCCTTCTAAGAACAGAAGGAAAAGAGGGGTGCAGGTTCCCTTCTTACTTCTGATCCAAATTGCCTAACTCCCCAATTTAGTACTGTAGTTTGCAGTCTCTCACATTGATTTGCGCAGAACTGCTCCAAACCCCCTGGAATCTGGGGATGGCCAATCCTGTTCCGGTACTCTCACAGGGAAAGGTACAGAAGGAATCCAGCCACCACGTGGAGCACCTGTCAGGGACAGCGGGTGGTGGGAGCAAGTTGAACTCCAGCATGTAGCCCTCAACCACCGGCCTGGAAACTGGCAGGAAACTGGAAGCCTAGCAGAGGTCCTGTAACGGCCTGAAGGCTCCTGTGCTTCTGGGGAGGGTTACCGAAAGGAAAGGCAAGTCCCAGTGCCGCAGCCCTCCCCAGCGCACCGCGCGGGCAGGAGGCCGCCTCCCCTCCAGTAGGAAGTGGCTGGGAGAGGCGAGGCGCAGGCGGGGCGCTGAGACGCAGGAGCCGACCCGGGCCCCAGCTTCCGGAGAGGGGAGGAGGCGGATCGCAGGAGCAGGGCGGGGAGGGAAGGCGGGAGGAGGAGGATCAGACCAGGAGGGCAGGGAGGGAAGGGCTCGCCTTTCCGTCCGCGCCCAGCCCAGCGTGCCACTGTTCCCGGCAGCGGGCTCCGGCACCACTCGTCCGCTACGCCAGTGCGGCCCCCGGGTCACTCCCCGCTCACCCAGAATGGAAATCCCACCAAGCCACTACCCAGCCTCCCGGGCGGCCTCGGTGGCGGAGAACTGCATCAACTACCAGCAAGGGACCCCCCACAAGCTGTTCCTGGTGCAGACGGTGAAGCAAGCGAGCATGGAGGTGAGTCCAGGGCCGCGGACTCCAGCTCCAGCCCCAGCGCTCGGCCCCTCTCCGCTGCGCGCCACGCGCTCTCCCCACCCCCATTGGGGACAACTGTCTGCGTGTGTGGTCCAGAGAGTTAACATTCTTGGGGCATAGTCTCTGCTCTAGTCTCTGGAGACAGCCTGGTACTGTTTGTTCTTTTCATCTGAAGGCACAGAAAAGGGGAGTTTTGCGCACCCTGTTGCAAGCAAACGGGAAACGCTCTAAGTTGGGGAGGAGCACGCTTTCCCTTTCCCGGGGAAACCTGTGGAAACCATTCACAAGAATTTGCTACTTCAATCTGGACCGACAAAAGCTGTCGTCTTCCAAACAACTCTCTATTGCCTAATTTTAAGACCAATTCTTACCAGAAGCTTTGACTCAGAAGCTGACAAAGTCACAGAATAAAAGCATTGTGGGCTGATGCTGGGCTCTCGCCAATCCAGCGTCGCCACCACATGAATGTTTTAAATGATGGGCTCCTTTGAATTTAATGTCTAAGGCCTCAGCAATCGCAACTAGATTTGTTTCCATTTTACTAAAATCTTCTGGATTTGAGATTGTTCCATATTTTAACTAAGTCTTTAAGAGCTGACAGGGAGTAAATCTTATTTTAAAACTGCACCAGATAACATAATTCGCTATAGATTTTCAATTTGTATCTTGATTTAAAAGTGAAAATTTTGTCTTACTCTTATAAAATTTGATAAGGCATCATTTTGCAGGTCCACTAATATACAAGTAAAAGCAGTACTTAAGTCTAACTCCTTTGCAGTGATCTGCCTCAAAATGGAATTCACACTCTTTAAACACTATTTGGAGGGTACACTGGACTTTATGAAAAATCTTTTCAGAGGTGTAACCTATTTGTCATCTTTAGAATTAAAGCTGTTTCAAAATTTTTTATGTAGAGAGTTTAGGATTGCTGATCCAGAAGTTGAAATCTGTTGATGACTGAAAGTTATGTCCATTTTATTGGTATATGTTTATCCCACCACCCTTTTGTTCTCCTCCAAAATAAACGTCAGAGAGGACTTGATAATTCTGTCATGTGTGTGGCGACATGCCTTTTTCAAAATCTAAGGCTTTCATCATTTTCTCCTACCAGAGAATGGAGTCTTCTAACAATGCAAATATATAACCTGTTGTTACAACATTTTTTTCTCTCTCCCATATTTTCTTAATTTTAGGATATTCCAGGAAGAGGGCACAAGTATCACCTTAAATTTTCAGTGGAAGAAATTATCCAAAAAGTACGTGAAATGTCCTTCATTATTAAATAAAACTTGATTCTAAATATTCC